GCCCGGCCCCTGTCTTACCTTTTAAAACATTAATGCTACCAAATTAAATGGAGTTTTCTGCAACTTGTTTTCTCCCATTCAGCATTATGTTTGAAATATATCCAGACTGTGTGTGTAAATCTGCGTTTGTTAGCATGGCTCTGAAGCTGTGCTCCATTGCACCGATGTTCTGATTTTTAGGTCTACTCTTTTATGGATGGTCACTGGCTTTTCCAGTGTCCTGCCATTACAATGACCCTGTGAGCACCTTCATTCCCATCTCTGCGCACAAGAGCGTGAGGTTCTCTGGGAAACATCTATGATTTAGGTTTGACCTCAGGTAAGTTGTAAGGGGGCTGCAGGGACAGCATTACAGACCTCTGGATGTTTCGAGAGATGCAATGCAGCACGTGATGTAATGAAACACAGCTGCAAAGATGCCTCCCTGTGGCAAACCCGCAGACTGAGTGACATCACTTCCACACAGAGCTGCACCCTCCACCTGCCATGCTCTCTGGCTGCCAGTCTCAGATGAGGAAACAGAGTCATGTTGAAGTGACCTGCCCAAGGCCACAGGACTCGTAAGTGGCAAAGTCCATGTCACCCGGTGTCAGCTGAATCTAGGCAGTGCGGGTCATGGCCCAGCCATGGGTGGGGCGGTGGAGGGCCACTTCTTTCACTTTCGTAGACAGAACGGCAAGAGGTCTGGGCATCTCTGCCATCACTGGGCCTGAGCCACTCACTTCCAACAACCCAAAGCTGCACCTGCTGCCAGCAAGACGGGTTGGTATGACGCAGCCCTACCCCATGCCACACAGTGTCTGTCTGGAGGCCCACGAAGGCTTCCTTTCCTCCTGAGCATGGTAAGACACACTTAGAAATGGCCCCGGACCATGGACACAGGATTGGCTGGGCACCAAACCAATCTACAGAAGTGTGGTACTGGCACCCTGTCGAGGATTCAGTTCTCAGTGAAGACAGAATTACCGTCCGGGTCCTCGGAGGAGACAACATGGGGCTGCTGGGGTGGCAGAGTCTCCAGGACCAAGAGGACCTGCGATCTCTGTGTGGGACGCTCGTCTGCTGACCACCACCTCCATGCATGTGGGATGATGACATGCAGCCTCACACCTACCGCCTCCCTCCACAGTGGGCACAGAGCGAGATGCAGGAGGACACTCACCAGTAAGAATGTGTTCCAGAGATCTAAAAACTTAAACCTTCCAGATAACACTAATTTCCAATATGCAACAGCCATTTCTAAGTCTGGCAAAAAGAGAGAAAGAGCGGTTAGTAAATATCACTGCCTTTTTCTACTGCACAAAAAACCACCACTTTTTAGCACATCAATATTTACTTAATCAATAAAATGTGGCAATCTCACCCAAGAGTCATGAGTCTTAATCTCTACCGAAGTGCTCCTGAGGACCATATGTAGTCTAATTTTATAAATCTGGGAAAAGTCTAATTTTATAAGTCTTTAGAAAGGATTTGTATACTAAGTTACTTGGATATGCACATAATTTCCCCCTAATTAATCAATTATGGAGACTCGCATTTCCATAAATATTGGGTGTTCTTTAAACCTGACCTGATATGGATACTATTAATGCATATCATTTGTTTTTAAAAATAGGCCACTGGCCTGAGTGTTGAACACCAAAGGGCCAGTTCAGAAAGGAAGGGACACACTGTTCTCCAAATAGACCTGCCTTGTCACTGCTTGAGCTGAGACAGACTCTGTTTCACAAGTAATTATAGACCCTGCAGAGTCAAGACCATGGGCACCGGCAGGGAAAGCATTCTCACTGACACAGGGACATCTACACATCTACATGGTATGTCATGCAAAGCTAAGGCCCTCACTTTCCCCCATGGGGAGGTAGTAATTATTTCACGACTTCTACACAAATCTCTGCTACTGAAGATGTCTAATAGAATATGAATGGTGAGTTTCAGGGCTGTCTCCAATCCACAGTTTGTGAAATACTGATTTATTCTCTGCTCACCAGAAGCTCGATAACGATTTCTTTATATATGCTTGACACAGCAAGTACATAAAATAACCTTCTTTATGTACTATGTACATTTTTTAAAGTAACCTCCTTTATTCATGTTGAATAGTGTTCACCACTTTTAGGCATAAACAGTTATATTTATGTAAAATAAGCTAATGTGAAAAGCAAATTAATAAATATGTTAGGTAATATATTAGTTTAAATGCAAAATACATAACTAAACACTTTTCAAAAGATTTTTTTCTAAATTTCGCTTGATCCCACTTAAACAGAAATTATTAAAGTTGGAGCTCTAGCAAGATGACCAGGGTTGATCATTATTAAAATGCGATAAGCAAGAGGTGTCTGAGTAGCAACCAACTTTAAATAAAATGCCTCCATACTCCCTGTGCAAAGGCTTCATTGCCACCTTTCTCAGTTCTGAATACCCTGGAGTCTTAATCAAAAAGAAAGACAGAGTCAGAAAGTTCCAAGTAACTGAGACACGGAACAGCTCTCTAGACCTTACCGATGGGACCCGCAGTAAAATGCTAAGATGATTAGTCTTGTCCTGCTTATAAGTCTACATCCTTATCACTTAGGAAGGACATTAATTGAAATCTATATTCAACTCATCTTAATGATGTAAAGCTCTCACATTGAGAAATGGAGGTGAACCTGGGGAGGAAAAAAAGATAAAGTTTTATGGCATATATTTAATCTAGTTACTTTGGGTTAGTTTTGGTCCTAAAAACTTTTCTTACAAAGGACCTGATTTGTATGTTTGTCAATCACATTATCAAAAGTATATATATGATTTTTCAAAATTTATTATTATTTATATAAAAATGTCTAATATTGTCCTCATGGACTTAGCCATTTGCAAAACATTTAACAACAACAACAAAAACAACAACTCAGAAAGGCAGAACTTGAAAGTGGAAATTAAGACCAATAGCTACTCTGGTGGCTACATCTTTATAGCTGCTATTTTCTTTCAAAGAATCTTTAAAAAGTGTCATCTCCTAAGTGAAAACATGTTAGAAGACAGCATTACTGTTAAAAATTCATGCTTGTGATGCTCCACTCAGGATTAGACAATGAAGAGGTATCCTCTGTCAAAAAAAGACCTTAGGGCAGACATAAAAATTAGCTAGCTATCATGAAATCTTACTTCCTCAAACATCAAGATGCTCAAAGCTGGCCGGGCACGGCTCACACCTGTAATCACAGCACTTTAGGAGGCTGAGGCAGGAGGATCACTTCAGGTCAAGAGTTTGGGACTAGCCTGGGCAACATAGTAAGACCCTCACCTCTCAAAAACAAAAAACAACAAAAAAAACTACACACACACACACACACACACACACACACACACACACACGATTCCCAAAGCCAACTAATTCCAGACTCTAGCCAACATGAAGCTATATTGTTTCTTACATTAAAACAGAGCCAAGTAACTTTATTCTCTGTATTAGGTTAATCATTAGTTAAGTAATGAGTAAAGCATAATCTTACATAAAAACAATAAATACAGTACACACGATCTTCACACACACACAGGTACCCACATGGAGACAGACAGACACACAAATATAGAGACACGGACACAAAGACACACACACACACATATGCACACAGATGCACACACACAGAGACATAGAGATACCACTATACACACAGAGACAGACACACACACACACACACATACACACAGTGAAGGAAATAAAGAGTAAATCTGTGTCTTTTGACTCCATGTTTCCACCGCAGTCCATGCTTTTTCTAGGAACAGTTAAACACTTGCCTCAACCTCTTCAATTTTACTTAGACAAGACAGATGTGTAATAACATGCTATACTTTGGAAAACTGACTGCTCTATTTTTGGGTTATAGTCATAAAATTATTCTTGCTTTCTGTTTTTAAAAGCTCTCAAAAAACTTTTCTAAAAATAGTGTGTAATCTATTTGAAGTGTTCATACAATCTAATCATTTTCCCAAGGAGGCTACTGTTTTCCTTAATAAAATTTCATATTCTCTCAGCTGCTCTCATGAAGCAAAGAAACAAAACCGTTAATGCTTCCCACCCTATAGTGAATGATTCTGATAAACATTTCATTTAAGTGTCTACAAGAGTAAACAGGTCCTTGTTCTCAGTGAGGAAATCAAGGATAAACTATAAATCTGTTGCAACTTTCAATGCTCTCAATGGCCTGTTCTGCCACTGAAAGCCCTGATGGTTAAGGAAATTTATAAAATGCAGGCTGAACGCAATAGGTCCCGAATCTCAAGAATGTTTCAAAACACTCTCTATCCATATACTAATCTTTGTTGAAAATATGTGCAGAAAGAAAATAAATTTTGCTACTTTGAACTGAGCAATTAATTTAGACTCTAATTTATAACCTCCTGGAAATGACCACAAAATGAAGCGGTGGTGCCCAAATTCCTGAATTCTGTCAGGAATTTTGGCAGATTCCGCTGGGCAGCCCTTCTCCCTGTCATGGCCTCCCATGGGGCGGCCGGCCTTTGCTGTGGGGAGCACGGCAGCCTCTGCACGAGCAGTGCTTCTGCCGGAGCCACCCGGGCTGTGAGGAAGCCCACCAGGGGCAGCTGGGGCAGGTGGGAGGCCATGACGGGGAGAAGGGTTGCCCAGCGGAATCTGACCAAATTCCTGACCCAAAGGATCATAAGCTGTCAAAACGACTGTCATCTGAAGCTACTGTGTTTTGAGGTAGTTTGCCGTGCAGTCATTACTAACCCAGACGGAGGGCCTGTCTAAAGCCCAAGGGCCTGCATTTCCAGCAAGCTCTGCAGTGATGCTGAGGCTGCTGGCTTTGCCAAGGTCCTAGAAAAGCTCCTAATACTTTTCCATATGTGTCAAGATAACATGGCATTACAAGATAAAAATTCTTAAAGATAATACCTACACATGACAGTCAGATAAAATGCTAAGCTTTCTAACATTTTTCCATTTCAACATTTAAATGAAGGATCCCCTGGACTGCAGAGTATCAATAAATATAAATGATTATCTCTAATAGAAGCTCAATTATCCTAAGATTATGCTGAAGATATTAAAATAACAGTTCAAAATAGTCAGGAAAAGAGTTTTATTATTTGCTGAAGTTTCAAAGTATCCTTCCTGATAACCATTTAACAATAAAAAATAATTGCTATTATTTTAAAATTTGAATCAGACGAATTCTCACTTTGGAAAGGAAGCTGGATAAGCCTCTGAGAATTAAACTGCTCAAAAGCACAGCATGACCAGACTTTCCTGGAAAAATCATGATAGTTACACTGAGACCTGAATTGGCCAAATTTTAGAAAGCTGTGAGAAGCAGTATTTCTTGCTTGGGTGACTATTGCCAGAGAAAAATGGGGGCAGGGGATCAGCAAACAGAGAGAACGAAAAAAAAAAAAAACCAACAACCTGCATGAGATGGAAGAACACGTATAGCAGAAACCAGCACCTGTCAGGAGCCCACGGCCCTGTCCTCACAAGCGACAGAGCCCAAGAACGCTGAGGAAGCTCAGTCCACATCTTCCTCTGCACCATTATTCTCTTGTCTTTTTGCCCTTTTTTTTCCCCTGTCGCCCAGGCTGGAGTGCAGTGGTTCAATCTCAGCTCACTGCAGCCTCCACCTCCCCAGGCTCAAGCAATCCTCTTGCCTCTGCCTCCTGTGCAGCAGGGACTACAGGTGTATACCACCACACCCGGCTAATTTTTGTATTGTATTTTTAGATGGAGTCTTGCTCTGTTGCCCAGGCTGGAGTGCAGTGATGTGACCTCAGCTCACTGCAACCTCTGCTTCCCAGATTCAAGCAATTCTTGTGCCTCAGCCTCTTGAGTAGCTGAGACTACAGGTATGTACCACCACACCCAGCTAAGTTTTTGTATTTTTAGTACAGATGGAGTTTTGCCATGTTGCCCAGGCTGGTCTCGAACTTCTGACCTCAAGCAATCTGCCTGCTTCAGCCTCCCAAAGTGCTAGGACTACAGGCGTGAGCCACCGCACCCAGCCTCCTTGTAAGTTTCTAGAAAAGACTGGTAATGGTTTCTTGAGAATACTGATGATAGTTACTGAGTAATTAGGGTCTCAACTAAAATGAGCTTTAACTTTAATTTTTGCCTCAGCCTCTTAGAAAGAAATAGAGTGGAATAGAGAAGATAAAAAATAAGAGTTTTATCGTAGAAAACCAAATGTTTTCATTTGCTAAAAGTAGGCTGAACCTGACATCTGGTATGTAGCTCATAAACCAAGAGTTATTTTACAAACAGAGTTATAAACAGAGTAGATGCAGAAAAACTTTTCAGTGCAGACTCTTCCCTTCTCTTAACGTGCTGGTAAGTCATTTCTCCATTCAGAGGTAAAAGAAAGAATCTTTAGTGCCTTTAGAATAAACATTGAAAAAATATACCCAAAACTCTTCTCCTAACTTAACCAGTCATAAATGAGTGAAAAGGAAGGACTGTGGTACTCAGGAATAAAATGACTCTGGGCGCAGAATAGGCTGGTCGGGAAAGGAACAATGGAGACAGAAAAGGGAGAAAAGCTGAGGAGAGGAGAGGAGCAGTGCCAGACAGTCTTAGCGACAGCAAAGCCAACACTTCTGTATACTACATGCATGTGCATGCGTGTGCATGCGTGCGCGCGCGCACACACACACACACACACACACACACACACACACACCCACCCAAGAGGGAGCACCATGAAGTTGAAAAGCTGCCCTGAACCATCTTCCTGTGAAGATCTTGTAGGAAAACTAATTTCACATAAAAATGAGCCCTGAGATCAAATCCCATACAATGCTATTTTAAGAAAAAAGATACTATATGGTGGCTCACACCTGTAGTTCCAGCACTTCAGGAAGCCGAGGAGGGTGGATCACAAGGTCAGGAGTTTGAGACCAGCCTGGCCAGCATGGTGAAACCCCATTTCTACTAAAAACACAAAAAATTAGCCAGGTGTGGTAGCACGCGCCTGTAGTCCCAGCTACTCAGGAGACTGAGGAAAGATAATTGCTTGAACTCAGGAGGCAGAGGTTGCAGTGAGCCGAGATCCAGCCATTGCACTCCAGCCTGGGCAACACAGCAAGACTCCATCTCAAAAAAACAAAACAAAACAAAACAAAAAAGATACTACAAACAGAATTTCATGCCTAGAAAACGAACATGTGTCAGGAAACACACCGACAGAACAGACTCAAAGTGCGATCTTCAGCCAGGCACGGCAGCTCACGCCTGTAATCCCAGCACTGTGGGAGCCTCAGGTGGGAGGGCTGTGTTAGGCCAGCAGTTTGATACTAGCCTGGGCAACACAGTAAAACTCCATCTCTCCAAAAAAAACTTTAAAACTTAACCAGGTACAGTGCATGTGCCGACGGTCATTTCCCAGTTAGTTGGGAGGCTGAGGTGGGAGGATGACTGCAACCCAGGAGCCTGAGGCTGTAGTCATGATCACACCTCTGCACTTCGGCCTGGGCAACAGAGCGAGAACCTCACTCTAAAACAAAATGTTAAGCCAGGTATGCTGGCCCATGTCTGTAATCCCAACACTTTGGGAGGCTGAGGTGGGAGGATCATTTAAGCTCAAGAGTTCGAGTCTGCAGTGAGCTATGATTGCACCACTCCACTCCAGCCTGGGCAAGAGAGCAAGACCTTGTCTCAAAATAAATAAAAAAAAATTTTTTTAAGTGTGATCATTGACTTCAAAATAGGCTAAAGGACATTAAGAAGTGAAACAAAACATGAAAGACCGCAAATGAGAATTAGGAAAGCTTAGAAATGAGGGAATGACACTCAAGAATTAGAAACAAAGGTAAAACATTCTGGAAATTACTGAACTAGAAGGCACATGAGGGAGATAAAGCCAGCCACACTCTGCATTAACGTCTCAGCCAACGACAGGCTGCATATGTGACAGCGGTCCCACAGGACTGCAGAAGTGCATTCCCGCTGCACCTTTTCTATGCTTCGGTGTGTTTGGACACACAAAGCCTCACCATGGTGTCACGGTTGCCTGCCACACTCAGTACAGTCACATGCCATCCAGGTTTGTATCCTAGAAGCCATGGGCTGTGCCATCCGCTAGGCATGCAACAGGCTACGCCACCCAGGTCTGCAAATGGGCACCCTGTGATGTCACACAAGGATGAGACTGCCTAATGCTGCACTTCTCAGATCCCATCGCTGTCATCATGTGACACATGACTGAAATGACTTCAGAGGAGGAGATGGTGAAAAAGGAAGATCATTTTTACAATTAAAAAAAAAAAAAGAAGTACAGATAAAAAGGACCAAGAGAAAGTGACCTGCATTGCTGAAGCCCTAACTCCCCAGAGGACCCAGCTCCACAGGGTACTCAACTCCAATTATGTGGGTAATAATAGTTCCCGTGGAGACTAAAACCAAATACAAGGAAATGCTTAGCGCTATAATTCAAGAACATTTTCCCTGAAATTATAAAAAGATTAGAAAGTACTTACTGAAAACACTCAGCATCACATATGAGAACACTGACCACGGATGACCCACCACACCCAGACAAATTCTAGCAAAATTACTAGGCTCTAAAACAAAATTAAAAAATGGGCTTTGTCTGGGAATCCAGGCAAAACAGTAACTTACAAGGCCAGGAAGACCGGCTTACCATCAGTCCGACAGTAACAATCCACGCCAGAAGAAAGTGGAGTGACACACTTAAGACATTCAAACAACGGAAGCCGGGAGACTTCCAATAGCAGGGGCTAGTGGGGAACACAGAGCCAGGACCAGACAAAGTGACAGGGAGGCCCGGCTGTGTACCTGGAAAGCAGAGGCAAGGCCTGACTATTTTTTTAAATGGGGGGAGAATGTATGACCACCCTGCTTTCCTTTTTCACTACTCAGAGTAATTATACTGGTGGAGATGGCATTTGTTCCATCACTCCGAGCCTGTGCTGTATGTGACCGGGACTGGGCTAACATGTCACAGTGGACGTTCTAATGCTGTCATCACCTGCACCCTTGAGAACCAGGGTAGAAGGGACACACGGCTGTAATACAGACAAGCTCAAGTAGGAAAAATAATCTGTAGTCCTGAGTGTGGATTAGAAGCAACCACATGAACAAAGATTTAAAAAATAAAAAGCCCCCACGAGAGCCTCTGCTTACTAAAGAAGCCTAGAAACGACGACTCTGTGAATGAGCACCAGCGGCGACTCCATCATGGCCTGAAGCCAGTTTCCACTAAAAGAAGTCAGGGCTTCTTGGGTGAAAAGCGAGTCCAGGTCTGGGGCAGAAGGTGGCTGGACGAGCCCAGGACAGCCTGTCAAGCAGACAGGAAGGAAGCGGTCACAACCATAGAGCACACCAACAGCACTCCATGATCTCACAAGGACATGAACAAACTGACCATCAGTGGAAGAAGGCAGGGAATGCACTCACCTCCTGAGGTCACCCTGCCTTTCTGGTGGCCGGCACCTCTGGCACCCAACACCAGGAGACGGAAAGACTTCCTTCCGTGATCATCCCAGCTCACAAACAGAAAGGACAGGACAGGCTCTCATCACTTCGCAGCCCTGAGCAAGGTTGGGGTCTTGGCCCTGGGCCGCAGCTGCTGGTGTCCCTAGGTGCTAGACACAGCAGGCTCCCGAGCCAAGATGTAGCAGGTACCACTACTGTTGTCCAAGAGGCAAAGTGAGAGCCCAACAGGCCCCACGCGCCTCACACGGCAGGTACTGTAATTTAGTAACTACAGCACGGGGCCAAGACGCGTGTCAGCACCTGGTATCTCTCACCAGCCCTGTGTCTCTGCCCCTGTGCCTCTGTCCTGCTGCTGCCCCATGCTTCTGTCCCCTGTGCCTCTGTCCCACCATCCCCCATGTCCCTGTCCCTGTTCCCCTGCACCTGTGTTCCCTGTCCTTCTGGCCATGTCTGTTCCTCTGTGTGACTGCCCTCTCAGGTGATCACTGCACACCACCCAGTGCCCAACCCAGCTCCACGTCCACCTTCACTGCAGTCCCTGAATCCCTGCTGCAGGGTTAGGAAGTGACAGCTGAGGTGAATGCAGACTCCTCAAGTAGAAAAAAATATTTATTATGGTCCACACAAATGGCCCACATGAATGGTCCATAAAATGGACTACAGTATTTTAAATAAAACGCAAAAGTAGGCTGAATTGTTGGTATGCGGGCTGGGTCTGCGTGCCATAGAGAGAGCAATATGAGCTGACACAGGATATTTATAATTTTAAATGTTTACATTTAAAACTAAGTGTGTGAACCCAGATGTTGAGAGACACTATCAACCAAGATTTTCAGGCACATGGTATTATAAACTCATCTACCTACGTGCAGGGCAAAGTGTGGAGAGGAAAAGAAACCAGAAGGGGGTGGTGATGCTGCAGCTGGGCCATGCATGGTGGCTCGTGCCTGCCACGCCTGAGCTCAGGAGTTCGAGACCAGCATAGGCAGCAGAGCAAGACCTTGTCGTTACTAAAAACTAAAAAACAAAAATGAAAGCAGCCAGCCAGATGTGGTGGTGGACGCCTGTAGTCCCAGCTACTTGGAAGGCTGAGATGGGAGGATTGCTTGAGCCCAGGAGATTGAGGCTGCTGTGACTGTGCCACTGCTTTCCAGCCTAGGTGACAGTGAGACTCTACCTCAAAAAAATCAAACCAAAACCCAAAATCATTACAGAAGGCTATACAGAAATCATGTGCTCAAGTCCACTGATAATCTCATTGTGATCTAGCATTTTACATATTTGGATTTCATACTCACCTAAACCCTTCTGCCCCGGGTTCTTAGCGAAGGTAAAGGTAAACTGATAAAAATCTTTAAATTTGGCTGTATCTTTCAGCTCCTGCTCCAGTCTTGGCAGAAGAGCCTTTAGCTTCTCCGTGCTGTCACACCTGCGATGACAGACAGTGGTTTGTGTCTTGCGGCGGACATGCCTCCCCAGTGGACTCTCCCCTTCTCCAGTGAGCAGGAACTGTGGCCAGGCATGTGGTTCCAGCCAGAGACCATATTCCCCACCTTCCCTTCCCAGGTGTGGCCTGAGGGCTGTTCTAAGTGATGAAGTAAGAGAAGGTTAAGGGCGGCAATGTCTCCCTTGCTAAAGGAATTCAAAATGCTCTAAGACAGATACTGGTGGCGGCCGCTCACTCTGGGAATATACTAAAACCACTTGAGTTGTAGACTTTAAATGAGAGAAAATACGGTATGTGAATTAATCTCAGTAAAATTATTAAAAGAAAAACCCAAAACCAACATCTTTTGCCCTCTTCTTGAGAACTGGGACAAGGACGTGGTCTAACACTGTAGCTGTGACCATGGAGAGAGGCCCCTGCCCTGCAATGACAAGATGGCAGGGGACGAGGGAATAGAAAGATGGAAAGGTCCCATTTCTCAGTGACTTGCACAATGGAGTCATCCTGCCAGCCTGGGCCACTGCTATCTCTGTCCGGTCACACAAGCGAAAAATAAACTCACATAAATCTTAAGCTACTTTATTTAGGTATCTCTTCATTACAGCAGGTTAGATTTAAAATATCCAGGTATTGTAAAACACAGCTCTATATTGTTTTAAAATTGGATTTTCCACCAAAAAGTCAACAACCTTTAAAAACAGTCAACAGCCTTTCAGGCAGAAAACAATAGTAAAACAAAGTCTCTTTTTAATTTTGACTGCACAGCAAAGAGGAGACTAAAAGCAACCCTTATCCACTTACCCTAGTAGAGCAGAGGTAAGGAAAGAACATTGGGAGAGGGCTTTAGAGCAGCTAGAAAAGTCCATAAAGACTTCCACAGAGAAGCACAACTGTAAGGCTCAGCCAGTCCTGCGCTGCACAGTGACGTTCTGGTCAGCAGCGTGTATGTGACAGCGGTCCCCTAAAATTATAATGGGACTTAGAGATTCCTGCCACGCCAGGGTGTCAGAGCCATTGCAATGTCTAGCCCAACGCATTACCATTTCTACCTTTAGGTGTGCTGAGATACACAAAGACTTAGCATTGTGTCACAGCTGCCTACAGTGTGGAGGAGAGTTCACAGCCTAGGAGCACAGGCTGTACCACAGGTGTGTAGTGTGCTGTACCTCAGTTTGTGTGGGTTCACTCTGATGTGTGCACAATGAAACTTCCTAATGATGCATTTCTCAGAACATGCCCCCATCTCTAACAGACATGTGACTGCACCACACGTGCATGTGAGCATAGTCACCATCCACGTCAAGGGTAGCAGCTGGGGCCAGGTGCAGCGGCTCATTCCTGAAATCCCAGTTCTTTCAGAGGTAGAGGAGGGAAGATCGCTTGAAGCCAGGAATTTGAGACCAGTCTGGGCAACAGAGACAGACCCAGTCTCCACAAAAAATAAACACTAACCAGGCATGGTGGCATGTGCCTAAAGTCCCAGCAACCAACCCACAGTACCCCAGTTGGCACAACAGAGTATGACCCTCTTAAAAAAAACTGGGGGTGGCAGCCAAGGGCTCTCTCCCATTTCAGCTTCCTCTTCCCTCCAGGGAGGCAAAGATCACACTTCTGGGTCAGGCCCTCTGTGCCCCCCCACCTAACAGAGCAGTCCACCATGCCTCTGGTTGGCTGTAAACAGGAACTCACAGTGTGCACCACCTCACGTCTGGCTGTTTCTGCCTTTGGGATGTCTGAGAGGTTCGTTCCTGTGGGTATTCACACCTCCAGCTGCTCATTTCCTTTGCCATACAGAATTCTTGTTACATCCATATTTTATGATTCATAAATGCTACTGTTGGTGAACACTGTTTCTAGTTTCCTGGTTTGGAGTAAGGGTGTCAACATTTCTGTACCCATATCTCAGCATACCTGTGAATGCACATCAGGCACACATTCCAGAGTGGACGGCTGCGTCCCAGTCTGTACAACTTCCATTTAGTAACTGATGTCACACAGTACACTAGAGCTCCCGCTGCACGCATTTTCACTAACATTTGCTATTGTGTCTTAGCTTAGCATTCTAGAGGGTGGCTTGCTACGAGGTTCTATTTCACATGGTTTTCGTCTGCATCTCCCCTGTGAATGAGATGAAGCACCTTATACTTTCGCTGGGCCTTGTGCATCCTCTTTTGTGAGGTACTTGTCAAATCTTTTGCTTGTTTTTCAACGTCTTTTTCTTATTGTTTTATAGGAATTCTTTATATATTAAAGATACAAGCCTTTGTCAGCTATTTCTGAAGAACTCTCACACAGAACATGGATTGTCTTTCTATGACCCTTAAGATGTTTCTTAACCAGAAGTTCTTATTTTTAGTATAATACACTGTGCCAGCATTTTTTACAGTGATTTATTTTTGTTGATGTTTTAAAAATTATCTTATTGGATAGTCATAAAGATATTTTCCTGTTATTTTCTAGAGACTTTTTGCTTTTGCCTTTCATACTGAGATCTACAATCTATCTGAAACTGATTTTTACATACGGTATGTGGTAGAAATCAGGATTTTTTTTTCTCCAAAATACTAATTCTCCCAGTCTCATTTATTGAAAAAATGTCTTTCTCCACTTAAGGCTAGCTCTATCATAAACCAGATGTCCCTACCATTCATGGACTTCTTTCTGAACCCTCCATTCTGCTACACTGGTCACTGGTCTGTTTATCTGATCTGGCACCTGATGCCACGTAGTCTTAATTATTGTAACTTTAAAACTTCTAATTATCTGGTAGAGCAAATCTTCCCATCTTGTTCTTTTTCTTCAAGAATTGCTTTTTGACTGCGCATTTTCATATAAATTTTAAATCAGCTTGTCAAATTACACATACATAAATCCACTATCTTTTGGGTTTTTAAATTGAGATAACATTCAGTATAAAAACCTAAGGATAGGCCAGGAGTGGTGGCTCACGCCTGTAATCCCAGCACTTTGGGAGACCAGAGTGGGTAAATCATGAGGTTGAGAGATCGAGACCATCCTGGCCAACATGGAAACCCTCTCTACTAAAACTACAAAAATTAGCTGGGCATGGTGGTGCATGCCTGTAGTCCCAACTATTCAGAAGGCCCAGGCAGGAGAATCACTTGAACCTGGGAGGCAGAGGTTGCAGTGAGCTGAGATTGCTCCACTGCACTCCACGCCAGCCTGGCGACAGAGCGAGGCTCCGTCTAAAAAAAAAAAACCTAAGGATAAAATAATGTGTTCCAACCTATCAACGAAGTATATTTCTCCATTTATTCAAGTCTTCTTTCCTGTCTCTCGATGAGTTATTTTTTTCTCTATGGGAGTATCACACATCTTTAATCCGATTTATTCTAGGCATTTTGTATTTTTGAAGATACTAAAAATGACATATATTTTAAAATTTACCATTTTGCTGACTGTTGCACTTGGCGTCCTGAAATATAACAGGTCTTTATTTGTAGAACTTGGATCCTGCGGTTTGGCTAACATCACTATTGATCCTAATATTTTATCCACAGATTGGACTAGCTATGATTTCCTGTTTAATACTGAAAAGAAATAGTCATTCAGGTTTTTTCCCTGTCTCAAAGGGAAAGTGGCTTACAATTCCAGTAAGTATGTTTGCCATAGGAATTTTTTTCTTTTTGGTCAGATTAAGAACTGCCCCTTTTATTCTTAGTTTCCTGTTTTGTTTTGTTTTTTAAATGAAGAAATGCTGAATTTGATCAAACCCAACTTACGATCCTTTTTTTTCTGTTGTTAACGTGGTAAATTAATTACACTGATTGACTTTGGAACATTAAGCAGATCTTGCATTCCTGTATATAACCAACTTTGTCTTGATGTATCATTCTGGGCTTATCATCCTGGGTTTTTTGCTACTGACTAGTCAGTTTTCTGATACTGTGTTTAGGATTTTTGCATCTTACGATCATTTTATGTATCTTCTGATCCTTACAACTGAGAGTGGCCTATCATTTTCCATTCTCAAACGTTCTTCCTCGGTTTTGTCATGCAGTTTGTGCTGGCCTTAAAACAAATTGCACAATCTTTCTTCCTTCACTATTTTCTGGAAGATGATGTTTAAAATTGGCGATTTTCCTTTCATTAGGAGTTTGGTAGGATATGCCAATTAAGCCATCCCAAACAGGAGTTGTCTCTTTGAGGAAATTTTAAATTACAGGCTCAAATTCTTAACAGTTACAGAACTATTAAGATTTTCTATTTCTTCATGTGTCAGTTTTAGTAAGTTATATTTTTAAAAGACCTTATTTCACATAGGTTGTCAAATTTACTGGCATAAAGCTCTTCATAACAGATTTTTTTTTTAATGCTTCTGGCACCTACCTGTCATCTTGTCCCCTTTTCATCTATGTATGTTACTTGTGATTTATCACATCTACAAGTCTTTCCAAATAACAAGCTTCTGCTTTACTGATCCTCCCTAATGACAACTTCTTTTCTATTTAATTATTATGCTTGCTAAATTAGTGATTCTTTAAAAACATTAATTCCTTCCATGTTTTTTTCTATTTCTTGAGACGGAAGGCTTTGCTCACTGATTTTCAGCCTTTCCTTCTTTCTAAAATATACATTTAATAAGCTGAATTCCATACATATACAGTATTTTCATCACTCAAGATCTTATTTTCTAATTTCCATTGTAACTTTTTCTCATCCCAAGGGCTATATAGGATTGCAACATCCACACATATCCTACCTAGTTATATTTTTGTTATATTCCTAGTTTAACTGTATTGTGATCAGAAAACATACCCTGTATCATTACAAACCTCTGTGAATTGTTGCAATTTACTTAATAGCCCAGTTTATTATCAATTTTTATTAATGTTCTGTGTCTTTCATAAAGTTTTTTTTTTTTTAAACACCAGGACAGAACATGAACATAGTCCCCCACTACCACAAATTATGCAGTCCAGTTTCCCACATTTGGGAAAATGACAGGTGTCAGCACATCTGCAGTACGATGGATAAGCCTAGCCCTGGGAAAACCACCTTCATGGTCATGGGATCTCTCCTGACAGGTTGTTCTGTGTTTTCTTTTGAAAGGAATACGTATTCTCGAACATCGAAGGCAACGGTCTAAATATTCTCCTAGGCCATCTGTTGTGCTGTCCAAATGTTCTATTTACTCATTAATTTTTCATCTACTCATTGTATCAGTTACTAAGATGTGTGTGAAAATTTCTCACTTTGATCATGGATTTGTATCTTTCTTTGTAGTTGCTTATTTTTGCTTTCAATACTTTGAGACTATTCAATAAATACATAAAAACATAAGTGCAACTGCCTTCCTGGTGAGACAAACCCTTTATTATTATGAAATTATTGGTGAGTTGCTGTATGCCTCAAATCTGTTTTATCTGTTTTATGCCTCAAATCTATTTTAAACAATATGGACAGCTGATATCTAAAAATCCATCTGGGTCAGGCATGGTAGCTCCCGCCTGTAATCCCAGCATTTTGGGAGGCTGAGGTGGGTGGATCACCTGAGGTCAGGAGTTTGAGACTGGCCTGGCCAACATGGTGAAACGCTATCATTACTAAAAATACAAAAAACAGCCACATGTGGTGGTGGGCACCTGTAATCATAGTTACTCGGGAGGCTGAGGCAGGAGAATTTGTTGAACCCAGGAGGTGGAGGTTGCAGTGAGCTAAGACTGTGCCATTGCACTCCAGCCTGGGCGACAAGAGTGAGACTTCATCTCAAAAAACAAAACCAAAATTAGACAGTGTGGTGGTAGGTGCCTGTAATCCCAGCTACTTGAGAGGCTGAGGCAGGAGAATCACTTGAACCTGGAAGATGGAGGTTGTGGTAAGGCGAGATCGATCACGCCACTGCACTCCAGCCTGTGTGACAAGAGTGAAACTCCGTCTCAAAAATAAATAATAAAAATAAAAATCCATTTGGCATTTAATTCACTTACATTTAATTATGTAATTATGACACACTGGGCTTAAATACTCCATTTTATTATGTGCTTGCTATTTGTCCTGCCTAAGCCCATTTTCCTCGCATTTCTTTGGATTTAACTTTAATTTTTTTTTTTTTTTTTGAGACAGAGTTTCACTCTGTTGCCAGGCTGGAGTGTAGAGGTGCCATCTCAACTCATCGCAACCTCCGCCTCCTGGGTTCAAGCCAGTCTCCTGCCTCAGCCTCCCAAGTAACTGGGACTACAGGTATGCGCCACCATGCCCAGCTAATTTTTGTATTTTTAGTAGAGTCAGGGTTTTACCATGTTGGCCAGGATGGTCTTGATCTCGACCTCGTGATCTGCCCGCCTTCGCCTCCCAAAGTGCTGGGATTAAAGGGGCGAACCACCACGATTCCCCCCTTTAATATTTAGAAATCATATGGAGATCACATATTCTAATAATTATACATTTAATAGCAAATATTTTCTCCTACTATTGTGGCTTTTTCATTTCTTTTGACAAGCAAAAATTTTTAACTTTGGTGAAATCTATCAGTTTTTTCCTTTATGATCTTTTATTTAATATCTTCTCTAGGAAAGTGTTTAACCCAAGGTCAAAAAGATCTTCCCCTACGTTTTTTCTAAAAACTTAAGTTTTAAATTTCTTGTCCACCTCTCCGATCTACCTTGGTTTTTATGTATATGAAGTACAGACTGAGGTTAATTTTTCCACATTTGTCCAGTGGGTTCAACACTACTGGTTGAAAAGACTCCCTTTTCCTCATCTGAAATGTCTTGACATCTTTGCAAAAAGAAAACACTGACCACATGGGTGTGAGTCTATTTTGGATTCTCTATTCTACTCACTGTCCTGATGGTTACAGCCTCAGAGACTTGAAATCAGGTAGCAGAATCCTCCTCCTTTGTTCATCTGTTTCAAGATGGTTTGCCACTTTTGTTTATAGTCCTGCTATGTGGTTTTTATATGTCTAGTTCTTTGGCAGTTTTTCAGTGATGTATCTGTTGAATGAGTGACAAAGTTGCTTTGAAGTCTACTGAAGCCTTCTCTTACCGGAGCCCCAGAGGCCCATTTCCACGGCCCGTTCTGTTGGCTCCTTTCATGTAATCCTGCTTCCTCACAGGACTGTGTATTCTGGTTTTGTCCTGAACATTGTATTAGAAAAAAACTGTTCATAGAAATAACGTAGGATAAGATGTTTTTCCAAATACCATTTTTATTTGCCTCTGCCAGGTACCTGTGAGCACTAGCAATGTGGAATTACCTTAATCCAATTTTAGTGACATATTTTCTAGTCTCTCTAGATGACTTGAGCTAGGAGTTCCCACGAGGTCTTCCAGTTTACCCTGACTCTTAAAGTACAGGTCTTCAGGCCCCAGACTTGAGTATTCCAACCTTGAATACTGGGCAGACCCCACTTTTCAGCTGTTGTCCTTGTACCTAAAAGAGGCTATCAAAAGGGGCTGTCAAAAGAATTGCTTTTCTGGGGAAAAGTAGCCCCAGCTGCTGGGCTCACCTCTTGAGATTTTTGTTTCACAGTTTTTCACTATCTTATTAGCTCCTTAATGCCTTGACACAGGTTTTTTACCTGGTTCACCATCTCTAAACACAATGCTCAGAAATTTTACTTGGTTTACTTAAGAATCCCTAGGCCTCTAATGAAATGATATAGGATTAACTGTCAAAAGCAGGTATTCTACTAACTTCAGTCAAGAAAGTTAATAGCCATGACAAAGTGTGAAAAAAAATAAAAACAGAGACACAAAAGCTAAAGTATTTTTTTAAAGCTTAGCACTATTTAAACTAAGAGCAAATAGTCTTAAAAGCACTGAGATTTTTTAATCTCTACATTATACTTTAGTATAAAACTTTAATACGGACAAAATGCTTTCCTTCTTAACAGCCCCATGAGATGTGGACAGCAGTATTTATCCATCATAAACTTGTAACCTAAGACCACATTCTGCATACTCAAGAGGCACAAATCATCTCAGCTATTTTGGGAAAGACTCACACTCAAAATCTTTAAAATATGTTAAGTTATAACAGATAATAGGATAACGGACAGGAATTTAAAAAATTTCTTTGTATAACATATTTTTAGACAATGACTAAGAAATGTCAGTATTTCCCTAAGAAGCATGTATTTCCAAAATTTCCTATTTCAGAGAGATTTTTAATAGATGGGATAATGTATTGTACAATACCAACAGAATGCTTAACAGGTATTTTCCATTCTAAAACTACTGGTAATTCACCTAGACTTTCCTAAGTGCAAAGAACATGAATAAATATGCTGTTATACCATGGTCATGACATCTTTTGCTTGTTTGGTTTTATGCACCCACAGAGAGTTTTATAAGATATTACAGACAGTGCCTGACTTACAATGTTTAAGATTTTTCCGGCTAAGTGCAGTGGCTCATGCCTATAATTCCAAAGCATTAGGAGGCTGAGGCAGGAAGATCGCTTGAGCCCAGGAGTTCAAGACCATAATGGGCAACACAGCAAAACCCTGTCTCTACAAAGATTCTATAAAAACTTAGCTGGGCATGGTAGCATACAACTGTGGTCCCAGCTACCTGGGAAACAAAGGTGGGAGGACTGCTTGGGCCTGGGTGGTCAAGACTGCAGTGAGCCAAGACTGCGCCACTGCACTCCAGGCTAAGTGACTAGGAGAGAAATCCCACCTCAAAAAATAAAAAAAAAGATTCATTTTGACTTTATAAGATTATGGGGTATTAAATGCATTTTTAACTTA